TTTGTGTCTGCCAAAAATTTGGCCCCTGTCTCTGAGGCTCTTAAATCTTAAAAAAAAAAAAAAAAAAAAAAAAAAAAAAGTTCAACATCTAACTGTTGTTCCCAGGCGAGTTCTTTAATTAGAAAAAGAAGGTGGTTAATTGAATAACTGCTGGTTTCAGTAATTCTTTCTGCCATCGCTTAAGTTAGACAGTAATCCAAAGTATAGCACAGCTTGCCATCAAATAATTCAAAGAAAAGCAGGACAACCGAAGCACTTAAAATTTCAGTTAAGCAACGCTTCAGAACAGTTAGAAAGAATTAGCGTTTGTGCTCAGAAGTATGGGGTTTTCCCACCAGACTCAAGCTTGCTAACATAGACTTCTTGTTTTCCAAACTTCCATGCAAGAAAAACTCATACTATAAAAGAACAAAACCCTTAACAAAAAAAAAAAAGAAAACTGCTTTCTTGTAGCCTTGAGGTCGACAGTTGTCTCCATTGCAGAACTATAGTCTCGGCAACCCCTCAGTGTGTTATTTTATAACCATTGTCCTGAAAACCACTATGAGTCAAAGCCTATTCAAGCGAGGGAAAGTGACATAACCACTGGTTACCAGTAGCAATGCAATGACAATCTCTCTATCAGGGATACACCACCAGTATTTACATAGTTACATAGCAGACACTTAAAGAAATAAGTTAGGGTATAAAGGGAGGGTTTCTAGCAGCACATGAATTCAAGATAGGGAATGGAAATAGATTATTATAGAAAATGTAATCAGCGTTTGTGCTCTGAAAGGAGCTTCCACAGTTTCTATTTACAATGTATGAAAGCATCCGCAGGGCTAGCTGATGGTCTGATCACTCGGGACTGAAATGAGTCCCAAAAAAGCACTGTGAAATGTACTTCTGGGAATTCTCTTACACCAGCAGGGACGTGGCTGAAACGTTTCAAGAGAAAAGGGCAGCTGTGCTTATGAACTGCTCCTGTGGTGGAAGCTGTATGCTTAGGAGGGTTCAGAGCACAGACCTTTATCCAAAGCCAGAAAGCAGTTAAGACCTTATCATGGATGGCCTATGGGCAACAACTCTGTGACTTCTTAGGGGAGAAACCATCTGGCTCTGCCTCTGCTAGTTCCTGGTATGTGTGGTGTTTGGTAAATGTTAGTACGTTGTGGGGTGTGACAGGTGCAGAATGAGCTGTATAGTCACTAATGGCAAAATATTTTAAAGCCAAGATACTAATTTACTGTTCACTAGAAGTCAAACAACTACAAAATATTTGATTCTGACATCAGGCCTGGCTCTGCAAAGACTGTTTTAGCAAAAACAGCTGTGTAAATTATCTAGATATGCTGGGGTGTTTTTATGTAACACATCCTGAAAGCAGGGAGTATTCATACATATATTCATGGATTTGGAGCAGCAGTGGGTCATGAGGTATACTTGATTAGAAAGCAAAAAAAGAAAAAGCAAAAGCAAAAAAAAAAAACCAACCAAAAACCCAACCCCCTACCTACCTGCATTGTTCATGAGATCAAGAACGGATTTATCCTTCACTTAAACAGAAGAAGTTAAAGCTAGGAGGTGACTCACTCTGCAAAAGCACATCTCCCTCGTATGATTTTTCTACAAAGGGAGGTTTAATTTCTTCCTTTTAATGACAATGAACACAATACCAATCTTCTTCTAGGAGTTAATGGCTGGCGTAACAGGCAGTATGGGAGCATGACTACGTTCTCCAGCCGCCTTCTGGAGCTGTAATCGCATCACGCTTTGAGACCACAAAAACAACCCACAAACCTGTCTCTTTCCCCTCTCAAACACAACTAACCCAGGTGTGAAATTCTGACCTACCAGTCATGCTGACAAAGCTCCTTCTCTACTGCAAGCAGGGATGTGAAAAGTCACATCACAAATACGGCCACAGATGGCTTTTTATTTTCAAGTGCTCTGCACACACTGTAATAGTCCATAGGCAAGAACAGATTTGGATTGATGGCCCATGGAGTTGAGCCAATTAAAAAAAAAAACAAAAAAAGAAGGAGGTCTGACCATGACGTCAGGAAGCCGCGCTAACTTACGGTTGGAGAACAGGAGGTGAAGGCATGTGAGTTCTCCTGTGTTATTTTGCTACTGAATCTCCGAATGACTTCAGGCAACTATCTTTAACTCTCCTTTTGCATTCTGCCTGCTGTGAATACTTCTGCATGCACTGGGCATCTCTGCTATTATACACACATGATTTACATTGAAAAACAATCAAGTTCTATTTTAGGTATGTTTTGACACATTAATCTTGAAAGAAAAGGCATAATGTTCCATATACTGTAAAGGAAATGAAAGAAAAGGTGTAATGGAGAAATTTATGTTCATATGCCATGGTTAGAAAATGGCTAGAATTACGATATTCACAAATATGTTATCCAGTTTAAATAAATGCATGGCACCATCAAATAGAGAAAGCAACTGGATGACTGGGCTTTGTTTTTCAGGGAAAACTACCAAGAAAACCTGGGAAAGGTCCCTGGTACCTACTGGTCCGTGAACAGTGTGTCATAAGAAAACAAACAGTGCCCTTGCCACGCAGACCTCCTGCCTCTCTAATTGATGCCTGACTAGTGATCAGCCTGACAAGACCTCGGGACCGACAAAGCCAGCGTCCTATTGAAGTTATATCTTTCACCGCATGATAGAGAACGGGGGATTCACAGTGTGTCCTTGAAGCGCAACCAAACTTAGAGTGAGTTGGGTAAGATCATTTCTCTTCAGACGTACCCACATTCTTAGACGGTTAATTTTGTTCTGTATTGGAATGAAAGGGCTACAATCAGAAATTCAGTGGAATTCAAATTCCAGAGTATTTTAATTGTGAAGTAAGAAGATATTTCAGTGTTGAACAAATATTTAACACATAATTCACCATGAAGTTCTGAGAAACCTATCAATAACTTAAAGGCTCACATTTTTTCAAAACTGAGGAACTATCTACTAGCTACTCCCACTACCCATTTTGGTGACAACTGCTGTTTTACTGGAAAGCTAATCTGTCAGAAGGAAAGTCCAAATTAACTCTTCTTTTAAGTACAGAGGAATGAAAATCCTGTGTTTAAGTACTCCTCAGTGTGCATGGTAAACCTCGCGTTACAGTAAACTCCTGCTTAATGTGTGGCAAGACAAACTTGAGACGAGGAGTCTTGAGGAGAACATGAGGAAAACAGTCAGGAAGCCTTTCCATTTCTGGAGAACACAGGCAATTGCTGTTATAGGAGAACAACTGAATGAATGTATTCTGTCTAGAAGGTAAAGGTATTTATGGATTCTTCTACTCCAACCAGTAAAAAAATACTTTGCAAATGTCTCGAGGACACTTTGTACCCATGCAGTGTTCCATTTGTCTGAAAAGACTTCACTTATGGTCTCAGTTGAGATACCTTTCCATTTTGAAACCATGTAAACCTAAACATTCAGAAGGGAAAGGTTATAACAAGGAACATAAGAATGTATGTTTTGTTTCACAGCTTGTGATAATGTAATTCCAGAAAGATGATGAACAAGCTTCACAAAGTAAAACCAAGAAGAAAACATCACATTAATGCAATCTACAGTCCACTTGAAGTTATAGGAGCTAATTCCTCTTTATATGCTTTGGTGTGACCTGAACATGGTAATTAGGATGCAGTATGGATCAAACCTGGAAGTCATTGATGAGTAACCTACAAAGCAAATGGAACATGCAGCTTTTGAACAGTTTGAAATCATGGCTGATGATAGCTTTATTTGAAACTAGAGGACACATTTTTGCACAGGTTTTAAAAGCTTTCTGGACCACAGCTATTTAGCTGTCTTCAGATTGGTATGGACTGCTGTCAAAGAAGCCTCCTTTTAAAAAGTATGACGATGAGATCTTTTTATGCCTGTTGTGATTCTTAAAATCCAAGAGCCAAGTCATCCTTTCCTACACAAACATCTGTGGGAGTGTAAAAGGCCTGAATCCACGATTTTAATTTCAGTAGTTTTCTGTGGGGAGTGAGGAAGATAAAGGCAAGTTCTACAGTCACAAAAAATGAAAGAGAAGTATGGCTGGTACTGCTGAGGTAGAAACCCTGAAAGCAGCTAGAATGAGCCAGTTCTTGACAACAGTAGTGGCAGGTGCTTTCTAAACTACCTTTGACAGCCAGATGAATCCCATAGTTCTAGGGCCCACGGCCTGTGCTGTCTTTGGGCCGCTGCTCACATATCTTTGCTGCTGGGGGAAAACTCGTTCAGGCAATGATTGAGGAATGCATCCCTTCTTGGCAAAACTCTCGGGGAAATACTTGTGGTCCCATAGCATTTAAATGATACTTAAAACATATGCTTCAAGTTAAGGGAGTTCTTCCAAGGTTTACTCATGGGGCAAAGGAGTGACTTAGAATAGAAAAGAGTATTTCAGTTGGAAGGGACCTACAATGATCATCTAGTCCAACTGCCTGACCAATTCAGGGAACTTCAGCCTAGTTAACTGTTTTCTTGACCTGGGGGCTTGGATATCCTCATACCTGTGACTTTCATCCCAGAGGCTGTACGCAGCCTCTTCATCCCAGGGTCTGACTTGCACTGTTAATGAGTACACAGCTGCAGTGGTCTGCAAGGTTACTGCCTCCTGCTGTTCGCTGTCATCGAAGCACCAGAGGTTTCTGCCCAGTAATAAGTCAGATGATTCCATTCACATTGAACATGTAGGGAATACAGGAAACAAAAGGCAGGCATTTCCAGAATGAAAATCTGAGATTACTGCTATTTAGCTCATTCTGATCAACCAGATAAAGACTTAGATTGCACCTTTCCACTTCTGCAGTTCCACAGAATTAGTTCTGGAAGCTCAGTCGATATTTCTTTTGTGATCCACAGACTTCCAGTTTTCTTCAAAATTAGCCTTTAAATATCTGTAGCTATACCTCAGGCACTTAGTGAGAAGCCAGACAGCCATTTTACATATGCAAAACTCAAGTTCACATTTGTCATACTAGAGCGCAGGAGTGGTTTTTATTTTATTTTTTATTTGAGATACTGCAGAGCTTTCTTATGATACACATTGGTGGGGCTTCCGGTAACAGGCTTTCAAAAATAATTAGACTGATGAGTCATAATCAGAAATAAATGACTCTTACATCTATTAAGATAGTTATTTAAAAAATGTTTTGATGAATCATGCAAAAATGCTCGCAAACGGCATTATACTTTCCCATAGATATATTTTTTTTGTTTTTCCTAAGTCTTATGAAAAGAGCTTGTGCTTTTAACACTTGAATCGAAAAAATATTTACAGCAGACATCATAAATGCTACAGTGCAGTTCAGACAGGCAAAGTGGGGATGGTCCCCTGCTTTGCCATTCACAAAACACGCTGAGGGTTTCAGATCTGTTCTATAAACCCCCGATTTAAAAGTGTTCAGTCCTGGATCTTCAGTATGCTCCTTTTCTCCAAATCATTCATTTCCTTCAGTATAAGGGCAACATTGTATCTCAGTTCTTGAAACTTTGCAACTGGTACCTGAAACAGAATATTCAGGTTAGAAAATGTGAAACATCTTGGGAACTTTGACTAAGGAATGCCTATAGGTAGGGGACATTCCACAGTGTCAGCCCAATCTCTGTTATAAAACCTTTTTTTTTTTTAGACTTAAGACAGAGGATTTGAGGTCATAAAATTCAATTAATTCAACTAAATCATCTGGGTGAAAAAGGAGAGCGGGAAAAACCAGAAATAACAGCTACATAGTACATCTGTACTGCCTGATGTGAGAAAGGAAGTACTCCACACTGTGAACTGATGGCTGCTGTGGTGAAGTAAGAGTCATGGATTAGAAGGAAAGATAAAGACACCTGGAAGGTCGTGGAGCCTACAGAACTCTCAAGCAACAAATTCCAGATATTCTGCTTGTCCCAACTTGCAGGAGAAAGGAACTGAGCCTCAAAGCAAGAGACTTGGCAGCAACCTCAAGAGCAAAGAGGACTGGCCACCGTCTATACATGGAAGGCAAAAGATTTTAGAATCATAGAATCATGATTTTGATCAAAATATACAAAACATTTGCAACTGTGCAGGGGACTAATGGACTTTCCTTTACCATTTCAAGCCTGAGAAGCCAAATGGATGGAAATCTACTATCTGTTAAGACAGAGAACCACATCTGAGCACAGGCACAGACTGGGTGACGCAGATTAACGTTAGCGCAGTGCACAAACGCGTGTGCTCACATGAGTACCAATAGCAGTCTAGCTAGTCCGGGCTGCTCTGCAGAGCACTGCCTAAGTTACTCTACTTCTTTGACTACATTGAAGCCACACAGTTCTTTTGACAGAGCCCCTTGTCATCCTTCTGCCTACTGTAGCACAGATATCAATTATCTGAGAGGAATCCAACATCTGATTTGCATTTTCCATATGCATCAGAAATACATAAAAAGGCATCATGTCCTTTTCCCTTTTGACACATACACAACAAGACTCAAAATGCTGCAATTCGCGTTGCTTTTTAAAAAAATCTTCATTGTCAGAAGTCACGCTGCAATTAAAAAACCAAACCAAACCCAAGACACCAAAAAGTGTAACTTCTCCCTGTGGCATACACATTTAAAAACTGTTCATAATGCAATTATCTTCTGGACTTACCATCTTACATAAGCCCTGTTAGTTAGCAGGACATTCTGAACATGTCAGAATGAAAGGAAAGTGAAGAGCTGAGGACTGTATTTGCTTGCATATGGTGCCTTGAACCAAAACACAGGTTTATCCCAAAGAGCGGCTAACTGCGGGAAGACCACTCATCCAATACAGCAATCATGTTTACAGCCAGAGCTTTGGCATTCAGATCTAAGCAGCAGCAGCAAAGAGCTGATTCTAAGAGAAGCACATTGTTTGCTATCGGATATCTGCACTTCTGCGTGTACTGGACAGGCACACCCACACATCTCCACTGCAGAATAGCAAAGCGTCTTCCACAGACTTACAACAAAAAATCCTAAACCCAAACCAAACCAACTGGGAACAATGCCACCAAGACTTGGCATTATATACCAGGAAACAAAGCCCCAAATCTAAACAGTAAAGAATATATACTAGTTTTTATTCTCACAAGTGAAACTTACCCTGTTGTAAAGGGTTAACCTGAAGTCCATGGCATCATTTAAGTTCCATGGAAGACCTCACACAGAGCGTATGGGATGCTCTGAGCTGGACTGTCCACAGAGGGGTGAATTTGATCTGCTGTGAAGTGACACTCTCAACACTTTGCGATGTAGCACAGAATTTGTGCCTTCCTCAATAGCTGCCTTCTTGTGAAGCACTGTAACAGTAAAATCAGTCCACCTCTTTCAACCCACCGTGCTTTGGTGCTTCCTCCAGACTACTACTAACACATGAAGTAAAGCCAAAATCTTTACAGAGTTCAAATGTAACAATGCCTGCTATGCACTGAATTCCTGTATGCACCACCTTGTTATTTATAGAACAAATAGCGTTCCTTTTCAAAGGTTAAAAATATGGAAGAGTTTATGCCATCTTCTGGCAAGCCTTTACCTACAGTGTCATAAATACTGCCACTGACTAATTCTGAGGTAAAAAGCAAAGAGTTGTGTTTACTTTCTTTCTAGCAGCAAGAACTGTACTGAAGAAAAAGAATAAAACTACCTCTGACATAGAAGAGAATGTTACCATTCTCTTCCAAATGTAGGAGCTTTAGAAGTGTTTCATATATTTTATAAACTACCCCAGTAATTTTTCTGCCCTCAAGAGCCACCATCAGGTCTGAAGGTTACAGTTGATAACAAAACTGTAATTTTTAATCAAACCAGATATTATGCAACAGTGCTCTTCAGTAATTAACATTCTAACAAATGAGGTTTCAGCAAAATGTGTGTAGGAACAAGGTATGAAATTATTTTAGTTGGCGTTTCGTTATATATTGTATGCGGCTACACTAAACACGAAGGATTCCAAAGCAAACCAACCAATGATAATGCATTGTTTACAAAAGCTTTAATATTTTAAATAGTAATTCAACTTTCTAAAAAGTACTTCAAGTGGTTTCTTTTTTATTTATTATGGCAATCAGACTTACTTCAAAGCGATGAGCTGTCCCATCTGAAAGCTTCATCATCATTAGAATGGATGGTTGAAGTGCACGGGCCAGTGAGCTGAAATTATTTACATTATTAGTATTACAACAATAGACATCAGCAGTGTGATGAGTACAGCATTGTACATTAACAATTTAAGATGTTCATGTAGGCTTTACATAGAACGTGAGTATTTTCAATCAGAGAGTCCTGTACCTGGCTGGCTGGAAACTCATGAACATAGGAGTCCTTTCCAATTTACCTCAGTATTGAGACTAAAAATTTTTTTAATAGCTTAGTAGCTGCAAATTTAGGAGCATTTTCATTTTATGTAATAATCAGTTTAGTGGAACTATGATAGGGACAAGAGCTGCCCAAGTACTGCTAGTAATAATGCACAGTTTTCTTATGCAGTTTACCATGTTGCACTAATCCTTTCCATCCCTTCATACTTTCAACTGCCATCTCATTTGGGAAATCAAGCTCTTCCAGTCTCCATCCTAAATTTGTGGGTTGTTATTTTATTTGATGACCCAAAGAGGGGAAATGAGTCATTCTTGTGCAGCTTCCATCAACTGATGTTGCCAAAGCCTGCTCAGGTACTGACAGGCGTTACAGCCAGAAGCCATACCTCTTCGCAGAGGCTATTGCTGGATGATAAACAAGAAATCCCAGGGGGAAGGTTGATTGGAGAGGAAAACAAGAGGAAGGAAAATAGAAAAGGATAATGTATTGCTCCTGTGTTGTTTGGAAAACAAATCATAGGATTTGCCTGCAGCTTACAAGCATTGTGCCCGAGGATGTTTATCTGTACATTTTGCTCTCTCATAGGTACAGATTTTTTCTGCATAGTGATACCTGTGTGGTGCTTACGGCACCGCTCATCTGAGAGTCGCCTGAACTAGTAACTTGTGGCCATTACAATTTTCACTTACGAGCCTTTTCTCTTGATTTCAGGAAGACTGTCCCTGATTACGCACAGGCCTCTCAACTATGGCAGCAAAGAGACTGCGCTCTCCCTCGGATGCAGGTATTCATGAATGCAATATGAAGTCACTCATGCTAACAATTTACGCTACTGACAAATACTGGATCATCTTCCAATTTCTTTCACCCTGGTCCATCTTGGTTAGAACTAGACAAAGACCAGGAACAGCACAGACAACAGGTTTCTGTTCCCTTCTGGCTCTAGCCAAAGGTCCATCCCCCAGCTGCCTCTGCTGTGGCAGATGGCAAGAAGCTATTCACTGCAGGCACAGACAGGATGATCACAAAGGCCTTTACTCCTGTTTTTTGAAAGAAACTAGGAGGTAGATCAATGACCAATTGCATAACTATGGCAGTATAAAGGGGCTGTTCTGAAGCCTCTCTTTGTAGAATCTACAGCGGACTGTACAGGTGATGGAAAGTCATTTTATTTAACATGTGCGACATACAAATGATAGTCTACTTGAGAAGTTGAATAGATGAGCTCCCTCCCCTGGTCCAGTGAAACCGAGAGTTTGGCTGGCTGTGTGAGGCTCGGTCCATCTAATCATCACTGAGGACCTGTGGAGTTGTATCAGCTCCGTTAAGTTTCAAAGTATTGAAAGAGAGACTCAAAGTTTGAGTGAAATGTTTCTAGCACAGAGGTTTTAGAGATCAAAACAAATAAGGAGCCTAAAAAGTATCATTAGTAGAAGACGAAGGCAGCAGCCTGTTGGCAGGTCCATGTTAACAGCAGTAACCTGTATATAAATTGACTGCTACACTGTTCAGAAAATCCCCTCTGTATCTTCCCATTTAATGCTACATGCCAATCCCTAACAGTAAGACACATTTTATCACCATTAACATTTTTAAGCAGCACAAGTCAGTTTAACCTTGGGCAAAATAATTTCTAGGGTCATGCAGGATTCTCTTTTGTACCTTGTGGATATAGCTACGTCCACTCTCCACTTGAAGTCCTGGACAGTTGGCAGCCTACTTCCTTGTATCCGAGCTGCACCTTCGGAAGCAGGACGCCTACAGAGTAAATCAGAAATGGGAGACTGAAATGCAAATTCATAAAAGAAACAACAATCTAAAGAGAAAATAAGACTCCTCAGAACAAACCTGTCCAGAACTTGTTTCTCTCCTACCTCTAACCTCATTTAGAGAGGTATGAATGAGTGGAGGTTTTGTGTATTTAAGACAGCTGTGCTCAGATTACCCACTTTCCCTATGCTTAACTCTAGTCCACGTTAAAAAAAAAGAGACCAAGTGACTCTCTGTAATTCCAGTAAACTGATGTCACTACAAAGTTTAGTAAGAGTCATTGTGGTGGCTGGCATATCTATTATTTCAATAATATGCAACTGTGAGGCATAGAAAGGGATCTGCAAATATATCTTTACCTTCATGCAGATCCAATAGGACAAGCAAGCAGGAACAAGACAGATGACTTGAGCAAAAAAGTTGGAATAAGGTCACTGTGCTCCTTCAGCAGAACACATCTAGTATTAGCGAGCAGCAATGTTTTAAAATATAATAATATTAGAGCGTACTTCGAAGCATACTTTAAAAAAAAAAAGTCACACAGGGGTTCTTGCTAATCCAACATAATTTACAAACTCTAAGTTCCTTACATAACGTTCACTGCCAACCCCAGCACATCCTTCAAGATTTTTGTCTAGTCTCATGTGCAAGAAGCAAAGACTTCATTTATTACTCATATTGCAGGAAGAATCAGGCTGATGAAACCTCAGTTTATTTCTGCGAGGAAATACAGTTGACAGCGATTAAACTTCAGGTGGTTGACAATCTTTAAAATTTTAACAGCATCTTAAGCTCTGGGTAAGTAAACAAGCCAAATCTGATACAAAGACATAACAACCACCCATTTTTAGATATATATGCAGCAATATCTCCAGAATGAGGTCGCTCAGCTGGTCCATTTGGGAGCTAGTCTGGACTTCGTGTTACTTATCTTTTTTTTTTTTAATCTTTTTTTTTTTTTTGCTAAGCATCCCATGCCTCTGGAAGTTATTTACGGTACATTTCAAAGCTACTCCAGTTCTCCCGCTAAGGGCAGGATAAGAAACGTTACAACCTTTATCCATGGTGCAAGACATAATCTAATTACAGACTTTACATCAGAAAGGAATCCTCTCTGAACAAATCAAGGACTGTAGGAATGATAGCCTAACATCCCTACCAAGATTCTTGTGTGCAAGTTAGCTAGTGCCTTTAGAAACTGCCCAGAAAGATTAATGATTTGATAAGGTACACAGGACTGACAGGCTGAGATCCCCTAATACTCTTGCATTTAGCAAAGGCTATATAAGAAAGAATTCCTCCTTTTTTGTGGGGGCTGGGTGGTGTCAGAAGTGACACACATTCCTAATCGTATGGTAAAGGAATGAGCAGAAAAAATAGATCAGCGGGTTCTTACTCACTGTCAACTACTGGATAGGAAGTAGGTCACCACAGCTGTGTGCAGCCATGAGGAGCTGGAGTCTAGAATGGTCATTAGCAGGATTAAACAATAAGAACAGGCCTTTCCCTCAGTGGTGAGCTGCTGCCAGAGTATTGCTTAATTTGGGGAGTGCCTAAAAATAGCCACACTGCTACCGCTTCCTTAAGACACGCTAACTCCCATCAATGGAACACGGTCCATTCAGTGCAGCACCAGCATTCTGGGGAAGGAAAGAGTAGAGAAAAGAGGAGTTTGTTCTAGTTAGCAGTGGTGGGAAAGGTCAGCAATGCCCAAACAGAGGTGAAGCTTCTGAATATTGTTAAGCTATGGCATTTCTGTGGCCAAACCACAAAGCTTTAGTTCTGGTCAGGACTGCACTTCAGTACCATTCCCTCAGAAAGAGTCGCGGCTTTTATAGCTTAGTTTAATCTTCTGTCAGCACCTTCCCAGCTTGGACAAGACCGCAACTGGAACTGCAAGAATCCTGTAAGGACGACAGAATGCGCATAGTGGCCAACATACATACAGAAATTATACAGGCCATTAATCAAGCCATTGATTTCTAAGAGGAATAGCAAAATGGAGCAGAAAAGACTCAATGGGTCTTATATCCAAAACCTATAGACTATAATTACATTTTGTAAACATGCTGTGCCAACAGCTGCAATATACTGTCAGCACATAGTGCAGAAGTTAGAACAAGTAAAGCACCATGGATTAGCTGGAGACCATCCAAATTACACACGGAAAGGATGATACACCCGGTGACAAGAACATCATCTGCCAAAGAATGCAACAGAAGAGCACTCAAAACCGAAAGGTTAGAGAATTTGGAGCAGCAGCTGACCTAACAATATCAAAACTAAAGACAAATTCTGGATGGTTCCCTATGCACATAACAAGACACGTCTAGCAGGCCACTGAACAGGGAGAATGAATAAATTGGTACGTGTGAAATGCTGACAAATGGCACACAGAACGCACCCTCCTGGTAGAAACTAAAGCTACACTATTTAAGAAAAAATGCAGTACATTTATTATAAACACTCAGAGAGGGGGAAGTTCGGGTTATCCTTTCCCTTAAAAAAAAGTTCTAATTTCATGCAGTTATTTGATGGTGTCAACGTGGCAAGTTTTTCTTTCCTTTCAGTCCATAAAGCTTGATGGAACTGCGGCGACACAGAAATACGAATGTCCAATTTCCAGTACTTCAGAGCTGTTGTTTAGTGAACAAAATTGCAAAAATAAGATAAGATGCCAGGAAAAGTATTAAAAATGGATTTTTCTGGGTTATCTAGCTCATACTGAATTTTTTATCAGATGCTAATACTTCTCTTACCATCACAATCATATATATTTACAACGCAATAAGCATATGTATGATTCAGTGTTACATTTAAGATTATAAAAGCAGATCTGTCTAGAAATCGAATCTGAGGTGCTCTTCTCTGGTCTCAAAACACAGAGCAAGATTACACAGGATAATCACAGCTTTTGAAATGAGAAAAAGCTAAATTTTCCAGCATCGTGATTTCACAGTAGAAAACAGACAATCATGCACGCTTCAAATGACATCTAAATTTATCTTCTTTCTCCACTGCAAACAATATTTCCACTTTGCAACCATGAATTTTGCATTCTTAACACCTATAATTCAAATAGAAGAGCAAAGAAAAGATGAGAAGGCTGAATTTATTTTTACTCCAGGAACCTTTAGCTTTAAGCCAAGATCTTAACCAAGGAAATGAAAAGTATTTTTAACTTTGGTAGCAGCATTCAGAGCCTTCTGAAGGTAACTGAAATACCACAACTATGATTATCAGGATTCCATGCAGAATATCTGGAGCAGCGCTGGGTTAGTGATGCTATGTGCTGAGTGAACTCAAGTTTCAAGGAGGAGAGTTTTGCATATGCAGAAAGTTCAAGCAATTTCTGGACATAGAATAAGCGAAATATGGTTGAGCAGAGAGCCATATAGAAAAAAGGAATCCTTAGAATGGACAAAAGAGATAGACTGTTCAAAAAGGTCTTGATTTAGTACTTTCCTCTGGAGCTCCTGAGGTATACTGCTTAGAAAATTAATTACAGCTAGCAGAGCACTTGGTATCTCATACGTGTCATCAAGTCACCCAGTGTGAATTCCCAATTCAACCGTACGTTAAGATTTGATTAAACGCTGAGATATCTTCCACGAACCACAGCATGTAGAAGGCATATGTAGCTTGCCTCTCAACAAAGCAAGTCTTTCACTTTTGCCCTAACTTGCAATGATAATGATGATAAAAATGCTTAATTCTGCAATGCATTTTTTATCTGTAGGAACTGATGCACCTTATAGAGTCTATAGAACATTATAAAAACTGATTAGTGATGATCATAGAAAAACTGGAAATTGGGATGAAAGCTACTTACTGCATATATAGCTGTGCATGATGGACACCATGTTATGTTGAACCAAAATAATGGGACAAATCTTGTTGTCATTAATTCAGAGAATTTTGCTGTTCCTTCAGTAGGCCTGGGATTTTTGTCAGCAGAGCTCTGTGCAACCCTGCTGGCTGCACAATGCACGATACATGAAGATACTAACCTGTTACCAAAGACTATACTGGAAAAGTCCACGATGAAATCTTCTGGTATCCTTAAAGAGAAGAGCAATACAAAATAATTAAGTGTTTTGTAACCAAAAATATATGGCCTTAGCTACAAAAAAGAAAAAAAAATTATTATAGAACACAAAAAACGTGTCAGCATTTCCCATCTTCCATTGCTTAAAATTGCCATCAGCTCTTACGTAAGCACTTCCGTACTGATTCAGTCTAGGCTTTCAAAAGGACAGCCTATGGTTTTACATCAAGAACCCTAAAAACTGTATTACATCTTCCTGTCCTACCTCATATGGCAACAGTGAGTTTCAAAATAACCCAGTATTTGCTTAACTTCTCTCAGTAAAGTCAAGAAAAGTTTTACTGATGGCCGACAAGTGCAGAAGGCAGGCCAGCAATGCACGCTTTCAAAAATCCCAAACCTACACATTCCATTTCAATTTCACCTGAAGTGTAATGAAAAGAAGACAGAATGGATTGCTCCCTCAAAAGTAAAAACAGAGGCCCCTGTAGCTAAGATTACTTACAAAAGGAACATATCTAACATGGGGAGGACAAGCACAAATTTGATGGGGACCACGAGAACTGGTCGAACAGGCTAACTCACACTCCATTCACCCTATCCCTCTCCACTACTTTACTATTCCTCCGATGCTGTTGTTGCCTTACAAACAAGCTGCTGTTGATTTTCAGTTCAATATATCAGGCGGTGAATTGCAAAGACTGCAGAGCAAACACTATCCCTTCAGCTGCCTTTACCACAGGGACAGTAATCTCCTACAGAGAGACAGGTTGGACAAGGGGAGAAGTAACTACTGCTGCTGCCACAGTTAAATCCAGCACTCAACATGAATCAGTGCCCAGAGACATTACTCACCAGTGGCTTGAGATACACAGCGGTATATCAAAGAAAAATCAAAGCAAACAAGGAAGTTACCTGTCCTAAAGGGCTTACAGTGTCTAATGATGGGAGAAAAAACAACTCATCAACTCACACAGTGGGAAGATGAAACAGCAGTTATTAGAGCTTGAATCCTTAATGGAAGAAGTGGGTTTAAAACACATTTTTAAACGATGCTTGGATAAAACTGAATTCATATTACCAAGGTGGTTATCCGAGGCAAACTGGGAAGTGAGAAGGAAGGACTAGACAGTGCTTTTTTGGCTGCACGTGTCTCTCTCTCTTTCAGAAGAGACAAGACCCTATTTCTGCAAACATTACTTATACTTTCCGTGCAAGTGTATCACTTAACCCATCCTGATGATGACCGAATATCCTCTCCATGTAGTGGAATAGCTGGAGACAGGGGATTGTAATATGATTATTATGATACCTATCACTATACTTGCTTGACTGTAAGAGCAAGTGTTACTAAACCAGAAGCATTAATGCTACCTTTGAGCTTGCATTATTTTTGCTGTGCAGTTAATGATTTTGCTGAAAATTCTGTTCCTGGCTCAAGCAGCTTACACGAGGCCAGTCACACGCTAAGCAGATCAGACACAGAACATTGCCATCTGTAGCTCAGGCCTGAGCTGTGCTATCAGTTTCAAAGGAACATTCTGAGGAAGGGACTCAAAGGGCAAGGAAGAAGGTGTGGGGATGTCTCAATCCCATGTTATTGGCCTGAGCCATAAAGTTATTAAACAACCTGAGAGGGGAGGGGAAAAAGTAGCACCCACCATTTAGAGTGAATTTATTCTCATTGGCTCAGCCAGTCAGGCCAAGAAACAAGGGATACAGAATGGCAACCCTGTGAAACCAATCATACCAATCTAATTAATCAGAAGTGGGCACGTCTCCCAGCCTCTCTCTCCACCAAAGCTAGAAGCCAAGACCAGCTGCATCACCAGGAAACTGAGAATTACAAGACTTTATATGGGTGAAATCAGTCCAATCTTCAGCTTCACTGAAGGAAACGAAATAGAATGCGGGAGAGGAGAAAAAAAAATTAACCTGGCTCAGAGCTCAAACCTTTTAAAAGAAGGCACAACAAAAAAAAAAGGGGAAATAAGCCATTTTTCTGCCTTAAAATGCAAAATACCTGCCCAAACACTGGGTGCCAATAATGCCAAGACACTGCTGTTCAACCCATTACATGTGTTCTTTATGGTCACAGGAGGACCCACAGAGTCACTGCAGAAGGATAAGTGTCTGAATGTAATTAGTAGGTGCCTTAAAAACGAGCAGGTATTTCATCTCCAAACCCAAGTGCATTGGGAAACATAGGAAATGACATTTCCCATAGGAATCGAAGATGCTAAAGGTGCTACCAAATTTACTAAGTATCATAGCTTCAGAGTAGAATAAGCTATTTAGTCTTCTAAAAGTTTAGCCACAAGGTGAAGAGAGCTACTCACAGGAAATAAGACTGTCAGAGATGGAAGTTAGGAAGAGTCCCAATAATGTGAGAATCATGGGAGCATAGCAGCAACGAGCAGCACATAAAACATACAAGTCTGCAAGCAACACAAATGCAGTTACATGAACTATTGCTGCTATATCAGTCACATCAACCAGAACAACAAGATAAAAAAAGATTTATCAATATATAAAAGACCATCTGGACTGAAAAGCATCTGCATAGTTCCATGAATAAACCACAAAGCGAGAAAAAAACCCCAACCTACAAAAGTGCAAGGCACTAACGTGTGGTCAAATGACAAGGACAGGGGCCTGGGAGTCTGTGTTTCTGGGTACAGCCAACATACACAGCCAGCCCAGCCAGTGACTTCTGGCACTCCTGTACACCAACTTGCTCCACTGCTCAACAGAGGAATATTCACCCACCCACCCCCAGAGAACGTGGCATGGAGCTTCTAGCGCTCTTCATTATTCCTTAATCGCACTGAACACATTCTGTGTGCACCTCAAACAACACCAACTCCCACTGGGTCAAAAGCGACTCATCGGTTTCTTACTGACCTACTTTAACCTGAGTGTGAACCCCATGACGTTTCGGAGGAAGCAGCCTGCATTTTAGCTCACAAGACGAAAGGCAGGCCAAACTCCAGCACTGAGCTGCAGGCAAAATTGTATCAACTAGCACGGCACCTTTCATCATGGCCCCAATTACACCTTTCACCGATTACACCCTGATTACATGTCTGAACGTACAGCTTTAATTTGCTTGAAGTTGCTCATAAAGTAACTTACGCTTATGACTCTGCAGAACAGAGTCTGAGGAGAAAGCCAATTTGCAGGTTAACGGACAAATAAGGATGAAAAAAGACAGAATTAGAAACATATCTATCTATTTCTCCTAGGTAGCAATCGGAATGCTAAGAATGATGGGAAACTGGCATTTTAAAATAATTGAGTCTTGGGGCAAAGGTTTATAGATGAAAACATCAGCTGCGGTTATTCTCTCATTGCTACTGAATATGGAAATAAGGGAAAACCTATAAAGATTATTAGCATCTGATGTCTAGCTTTTAGGATATGAACTTCTATTCAGAGATACTCTGAACAGACTGATACAGATTTTGGCTAAGTCTGTAACAAACGCTATACTTTCTTGGGTAATGGGCAGGAGAGATCATAGCTGAACAAGGTGGTAGGATTTCCATGAGCGTTATATCATTGGCCTTTCAAAGAAAAAAAAAAAAAAAGTAGGGCAGTTTCTTAGCTTCTGAAACGTTACCACTGTCTTACCAAACATGTTAAAAAATACCGCAGGGCAAGGTGGGGATGGCAGAGGGAAGGTCACTCACATTTGCATAACCTACATTACGAACTAAATTAGACCAGTCTCCCCAGCATGTGAAATTTACTGCTCATGCTCAGTGCTAAATCAAGTCTTACACAACACCTGGGTTTTTTTTTCATCTGGCTTCACATGACATTTGGCAACAGATCTATTATGTGTTATTTACAGGTAAGTTTTATACCAACTTTGTTGTGTATAAAAGTTGACTTGGGGAAGTAGTTGCATCAAAGTTATGAAAAAACAAACAGATTAAAAACCAGGCATAAACAGGCATACCTGAGCTCCTTTAGGTCTTCCTTAAAAACCTAAAAAGACAAGGAAGGTGAAATTATACAGGATGTAGTCTTGAAAGATCATTTCTTACCTAGTGAATTAGTACTGGTTACTTGCTTGGCATCTCTCCCCAAAAGTTTTAGTCTCGAGTGCCAGTAGTTTTGAAATGACAGGTTACATATTGAGAAGAATTTCCAGAAGTGTTTAATCAAGTTGTGAGAAATTAATTTGAAAGACCTAAATCTCTTGGAAGCCTTTATTTTTTAAAACAACATCCCTGCCATTTCTTTTATGCAGCTTTCCATAGCATATTGTTCTTTCATAGTAATTATGTGCCCTTATTCTCAAATATGTTTTAGAGTAACTTGTTTAAACTATGATAACAGAAAGGAAGTGGCAAAAGATAAGCTCTGAATACTAAAAGCACACTTTCACTGTGTTTCCTGCAATATATGAGCTCTCCCAGTATGCCTGGGTAAATATGAAAACAGTATCTTAAACAAGAGAGATGCTGGAAGCCCAGAAGTGGTTCGGTCACATAAAAATAAAATGAGAAAGAAAAAATGTAAGGTAAAGAAACATGAAAAAGGAAAGAAAAAGCCACGAAGAAGGAATAGGGGTTGGGAACACGGCAGATATATACATATTCACACAGAACATCCATAGCATAAGCAGAAGTAGCACTTTCTCCCAATTTCCACTATATTGTTCTGGCCACAAGAGCTTCCTTCCCCTATAGCACAAGTATGAAGAAAGGCAGACAAACAAATATGAGAAATTGGACAAAAAAGTGTGGACAAAACGAGCCGTATGTGTGAACACACAGTTAGGGTAGGAGAGAGAGTTGATGCCAATGAAATAACACTTTGCAATGGTTTCTTCTGGGGTTTTAATATAAGAGTGAAAACAAACGTGCACAGTAAACAAGATGCTGAAGCAGAAAAAGATACATGAATCTTTTTCCCAAAGCTTAAATGCTCTTCCAAAAAGCCCACTATAAGTCTACAAGTAAAATAATAAGCTCTGGATTTTTAACAGTTTCTTCCAACCACTTGGAGCAACATTTTTACGTGCAGCTCCCCACCCTGGCAAATAAGGTTTAGATGGTAACTCGTCTCTGATGCGGCTTTTAACTTATCAGGACTCCAAGTACTCCCAGAACTTACTTCTTGTTTGAAAGTTGATAAGGGGAGTCTCAGTGCTTCTCGGAGAAGGGTATACATGCCAGAAATGAGGAAAGCAAGCTGCTCTTCTGAGAGATTAGTGCTTTCTGCAATCAGCTTGACAGATTCCTTGCAGTCTTTTCCTTCCAATGCGTTAACAGTGACTGTGAATAAGAAAGCAAAGCAAGATCCCTTTAAAAAGAGGAAGACCTGGAGACCGCAAACATTAACATAAACATGTCTATGATTTTACTTGACTTAACGTACTGACATTTTTTCTGATGTGAAACTGTCACTTCAGGTCTCTGTAAATACACCTGATCATCCACCACCACAGGTCAGTCTCACAACGCTTTACCAAAAGAACTTCAATGGATTAAGCTTTTCCATTGTAAAATTGAAGATGCTTTCACTGTTGAAATTTGTTCCAGTGGGATAATGCAAAAAAGATAAAAAAATTCATTGCTCACGAGTTCAAATCCAACTTGAGCTTCTATCAAGAAACTTGTTCACATCAGAAGTCTGCTCACAGCTTAATTACACTTCTGATACCCAGGATAAGAGAGGACTGAGATCAGGCCTGGCTACTAGATCATGCGCAGACCAGGACATAGGTTGCTGTCTACTTACCTACTTAAATACAACTTTGGTCTGTCTCTTCAAAGAACAGCAGGTTGCTTATAGTTTTTAACTAGACAAGTTTAATGACAATATTGGTCTTCTTTCTCTTGACCAACCCTAATCACTCATTAAAAATCCATGTCTTCCTTTATAACCTACTTGCATTACCCTAGAATACAAGATTTTTTTACTCAGTATGGCTCAGGGGACTCGGAAATATCAGCTGTACCAACATTTCCAACAGTCAATCTGAGGGAAGAAAAAAAAGAATAATCAAAAAACATCTCAAGAAAGTCTCACTGCTGAGTCATTTGCTCCTAGTAGAAGATGCCTACAGTCTCAAACTTACACTTGCAGTTTAGCAGAGCCTGCAATAACACCGGCTGGATAACCCTGAGATAATGGTATATGCAGTTTCTACATCATGAACTGAGCAGACATATGAAGCAGCATCTCGTTTTTTATATTAGTTATTATTTAGCAACAGAGTAACAGCAACAGCCTCTAAAAACTAACTTGGTGCCGGTGCCAGAGCAATCTAGATATACTCTGTTGAAATCCATCACGTCTTCAAAGACTACTGAACCTTTAAAGGACAAACCGCTGTCCTGCAAGCTGTTAATCACAGACCAGCAAGAGCAGAAGACGGCTGGAGACTTCTGCCAGCTCTGCGTAGTCTGGAGGCTCTGGGGCAGAGGGGCACTCGGGTGGATCGGGGCGGCAGGGTTACCTGCGCCGGCTCCGGGTGGTTTTGAAGGACTCTCTGCTCCCCCTACAGTAGGAAGCATTTATTGCACACCTAAATGTAGGCGATAATTTACACCGAAATTAAACCCAAATGGGGCTTAGGAGACGGTCAGGCTTCCTGGCACTGGCGTAACTTTTCGGTCTCCGTTGCCCCTGCACTAGACAGCAAATACGGCTCAACATTTGTATTTACTTTTGCCCCAAATGCCTCTGCCTGTACGTAGCTTTATTGCTTTCCATTACTGGAAGGAAACCCTGGATACATTGCTCCATTTCTGAGACTGTGCAGCGATGCTTTTAAAGACAAACCAGCTGCCAGATGCTTTGAGTCCTTACTGACTCAAATCAGGAAGAAAAAGCCTGGAAGGCAGTGAGCCAAGGGAACGGACACGCAAGGGCCGCAGCACCCCGCCATGCTGTGCAGCAGCGGGTCTCTCAGCTGGCCACAGACAAGCTCTCCTTTTGCTCTGCTGATCAGCTCTTCTCTTCGATTATTCTGTGATTATTTTGCATACAATAGTTTACCCAGCTGAGTAACTCTGATTTTGGTGGTCAAAGGTGCCTTGAGAAAACCTCACCTGTCTTGCCTTACCACAGGGAGAAGCCTCACAGCCAAAAATCAAACAGGCAGAGCATTTTCAGTCTTACAGCCCCAACTTCAGTAAGACCCCTGTGCTTTGAGGCTCCTGCACATTATGAAAGTACCCACAGGGTCTCGGACCTCCGCACGCCCCGCATGATCCGACAGCAACTTGACCGCTGGCTCTGGGACCGAGGGGTGAGAGAGGAAGGATTTTAAGAGCGCTCAGTGTGAGTCTGGAGGCCGTCCGTAGCCGCAGAGGTCCGTACCTCACCCTCACGGATTTGACAGAATTTTACAACACAGCCAAGAAACCCCGTCATTGCCTTCAGCCCTCCGCTGTGGCTCCCTGCAGGGAAAAGCAACGGGAAGCGCCCCAGGAGACCTGCACCCCTGCCCACGCACGGCAGCGGGGACCCGACCCCCAGCTGCCCTTTCCTTCCTCAGAGGACCCACGGCTTCCCGGAGCGGCGCCCGCCCGCCCGCCGGGCCTGGCCGGGGGACCCCCCCCGTCCCCCGGCCCGCCGGGCCCG